AGAGAGAGAGAGAGAGAGAGAGAGAGAGAGAGAGAGAGAGAGAGAGAGAGAGAGAGAGAGAGAGAAGTGATGTGTGTCAGCGACTTGCCTAGCTCAGTTGGTACACCCAGTAACTGTTGAAATACAGACCTGAGTTCGAATCCAGATGCAATCAGATGAACAGAATAATTTTCAATAGAAAAATTATGAATTACCTGGCGCCGGTCAATTCAACGATGATATGGCAAGCCCGTCGCCCTCGTGGGGGGGGAGGAAAAAAAAGAAAAAAAAAAGTGCTGTGTGGTGCACCGGGGGAAGAACTGCCGAAAGGGTGGCTGTCCCATTCTTCTGACAGTGGTCAAAATTTTGATGATAAAATATTTCGAGGCTTTTGAAAGGGGTGTGGCGAGCCCCTTAGACATAAAAGTTGATGATAAAACTCATAAGGGGGCATGGAATAAATAGAAGGCTTGTGGGTGTGAGCACAGGGAGGGGAGTTGACTGCAGGCAACGGCAAGAAAAGGGAGAATCTAAAACAAAAAAAACAAAAAAAACAAAAAAAAAAGAAGCGGGAAACAGAGCCACCTCACGAGCGGACCCCCGGCAGACAGGGGCTTTTATCCCTGCCTGGAGGGAGGCCGCAGCAGATGGTGTTTTCATTCATTCAAAAAAAAAAAAAAAGGGCGGGGAGAATGGAGGAACCCTAATATCCCTCTCTCTGCCTAATGAGACAAATGGTGGGATGTCCTCTTTTTTTTTTTTTGGTGCAGGTGGTTCAAAGAGGGGTAAGGGAAGCTGGATTTAATCTCACCGCAGACGAAACTCAGGTCAGGCGCAGACGGTCCTTTGGTGGGGGGGGAAGAGACTGATTGACTCAGATTGACTGGTCCCATGGGGAAACCCTTTGTTTTTTTTAAGGTAGCAAATTAACAATTGAAATGTTTCTTTCCCCCTGCCTTTTTTAACATCCTTAGTTGGGGTAGTCTTCCCGGATTTCATTCATTTTCCTTTCTTCTTCTTCTTTCTTCTTCCTTTGCTGTTCTATGGCTTCCTTCTTCTTCTTTTCTGCTTGCAATGCTTCTTCCAGCTGCCCGATGTTCTGGTCAACAACATCTTCATTCAGTTCCTGTTTGTTTTCCCCGCTTGTTTCTCCTTCTTTTCTTTTGTCTGGCAGTGCTTCTTCTTCAGCTTGCTGAACATTTCTGGCCAGCATTTCAGCGACGAACTGGTCCAGACTGTGACGGGCCCTGGCTAAGACCAGGTTCATTTCCCCTGCCACACAGAGGAGATCAACTCCTGTCGCAGCCTGGTCCAACTGTTCCTCGAAACTGCGCAGATCAAACTGGCTCGGGACATGGGCTTCTGCTTCCGGGCCAGCTTCATGGATTTCAGTCAGGGCCTGCTGCAGTTTCAGCTTTTCTTGGTCCCTATGGGCATTCACTTGTCCCCGTGTACGCAGTTCTTCATCTGCGTACAGCGTCAATGAGACAGGACAGAAGAACAAGGGGATAAACTTCGACGGACTAGACAGCCGCAAGTTGTTCCACATGGATACCCTCCTTGGAATTACCGCACAATCAGGCTATGCAATTATCTGCTCCGCGGATTTGTCAGAAATTAAGAACAACAAAAAGAAAATAAATAAAATCCAAATAAGTCAAATCCAAATAAATAAAATCCAAATAAATAAAATATCAATGTCTTAATCTACTTTCTTTTTAACGTGCTTTGCTTCTTGTACAATGTATGTTGATTCCTTCTGCCCGTGTGATCAGAAATCATGAACAGGCAGTCCACAGGCCAGACAACATCAGGAAACCGCACAGGTAAGTCCACTTCAGCATGAATCAACACATCAACGAGGTAAGTCCAGATCAGGGCCAATCAAAGGCATGGCTCATATCAGCACTCAACGGGACACATCATCCCGTTGTTCTTCTGGTTCCTCATCGGCTTATCTCCAACAACGGATGCCGTTCTCTGTTCAATATGCCACGTAGGCAACGCTATTATTAGTATGCCACATGGGCAATGCTCTTGTCAATATGCCACATAGGCAATGCTCTCGCCAGTATGTCACGAGGGCAATGCTCTCGTCAATATGCTACGTAGGCACCTCCATCGCCAATATGACACATCAGCGCTTGGTTGTCTTCTCCGGCGCTTCTTCAATCAATGCAGCTTCTACTGGCGATTTATTCCCTCACGATAACCAACCAGTGAGTGTCACGTCAGCGCAGGCCTATGGTAAGAACCACTCTGCCTTTGCCACGTCAGCACCCCTTTCAGAGAGAGACTATTCTGGCGATTTATTCCCTTGCGGGAATCAGCCAACGAGTGCCACGTGGACACCTGCATATGGTTACAACCACTCTGCAAGTGCCACGTCAGCACTCTATCAGCGAGATATGTTCAACTTTTATCATGTGGTCATCTTCAATCGAGTAGCAAATCGGCGAGATGAGGTGAGTTCGCGCTGGTACCAAAGTGTAATGAACCCAGTCTTGTCATCCAATCATAT